GTATTTGTTCACTTTTACAAGAAGAGCTATATCTTGACACTCTAAGTTGTAGAAGTATGTTGCTTTATCAACTACAAAGGCTGAATATATTACAGCAACCGAAGTAGGTAAAAAAATACTTTTGATGAAATATTTTTTTCTTGAATTGGAGTTAAATTAAAAAGAGTATATGATATTTTATGATAGTCAGAGTGCTTTAGATTTGAGCAAAAATATCATATACGCATGCTAGGATAAAGCACATTGATGTTAGATATCACTAGTTACATTTAATAATTGAGGAGCAACATATGCTATTGAAAAAAATCCATACAAATGAGAATGCAGTAGATATGTTAACTAAGATATTTTTCAAGAAAAAGCTTGAGCTTTGCAGTAACTTGACCAGAATGAGTTCTTTGGCCAAAGTAAGTTTTCAATGAAACTGCTATAATGATGAATCTCCTCCTAATGACGCTAGAGGAAGACATTGTTAGAAAAATAGGCTTTAGCCCCATATAATTGATTTTGAACCAATCAAAGACCATAAGGCTTGGTCTTTCTTTTTACACAGAACCCTAGCTACTTAATAAAAAGAGGTGAGACTATTTTGAGGTGAAGTTGCAAAAACCAAGAAGAAAAAAAAAAAAGAAAAGCTAAGAAAAAAAGAGAAAAAAAAGAGAAAAGATAGTTAGTTGAATGAAAATCGATTCGTGATTCGATTGAGCTAAAACTTTGTCATCATGTTTATGATTCAGAGTTCTACATTCTGAATGATGAAATCGAGTTTAAAGCTCTCTAAGAATAAATTCAGTGTATATTTATTGAGTCACTTATTTGGTGAGATTTCTTCAATTAACTATGTAGTTGTTGATTAACTCTAGTTTTAGCTCGAAAAACTTTGTATATCCATTGTTTATAGTAAAATTTTTTTAGTGGTCCGTATTTTTCTTTCTACACTGGAGGATTTTTCATGTAAAATATTCGTGTGCTTTATTTTTTTTTACGTTTTTTATTATTGATTGTTGTCTATTGTTATAGGTTTATTGTGATATATTCTTCAGCATTATTATTTTTATTGCTTCAAGCCCAATAGAGTTAAGGGATTTTCTTGTAGTTGTGAGATTGAGAGTTGCTATTTAGCTAAAAAGTAGAGTGTCAAGTTGCTATCTAAGCCTAGGAAAAAGATAAGTTATAATCTTTCTTCAATTAGTATATTGAAGCCTTGGCGAGGACAACTAAGAGAAAAGATGTAGGTGCCTTAGGAGAAAGCCTGAACCTCTATAAATCTTTGTGTTTGATCTTTCTATCCCAAACCTATTTCTGATTATTATTGTTTATATTTTTCTAGGCTTATTAATTGTTGTTTTTGCCACATAATTTTCATTAATGAGCTTATTGTTTTAATTTTTCATTCAATAATTTTGAAATCGTTATTTGAAATATTTAGAGAAATCAAATTCTCCATCTTGGATCAGCATCTCACCTAAAAAGTTAACAATTAACGTTAAAGCTTTGGTCTCTTTTTATAGATTTAACCACTTTAAGTAAAGATTATATGATTTAATTTAAGATCCAAGATGATAAGACAGTCCTCAAAGCTACGATTGAAAGTTTTAAATATTATGAATGAAAAATGAGAATGAAAGAGTTCATCATGTCACAAAATGTTGAATGTGGTCATCGACCGGATGTTTTTAAGTGCTACCATTGCTTACATCATGATTTATGTTAGATGCTATATCAATTGTTATTTTATCTTATTTAAAAGTAGTACTTTGTCAATTTTAAGTTGTAGATTTTTCATTAGACTTTGAACTTGGCATGTATCCTCTACTAAGTCTTTATTAAAGGATTCCTGAAAAAAAAAAACACTTTTGGAGAATATAAGTGAAAAAAAAAATTATAAAAGGAATCGAAAGGTTGCCTAATTAATTATTAGCAGGTGATAGATTTGTTAGGAATAATGACTCAAATCTCATAAGAGATTTGTTTGAGATTTGTTTAAGATTTGTCAATATTGCTTGATGGATAGAAGATTTGCAAAAGGAATTCTAAGAGAAAGGAGATTCTTAATAGTTTTAACTTGCAAGAGAAGAATTTAAAGAAAGAGTTCTTAATAGACAAGTTTTAACTTACAGAGAAAAATTTTAAGAGGAGAGAGTTCTTAATGAGTAAGTTTGTATGATTACATATGTGAGCCTCTACAGAGTTAGGTATAAAAAAGATGTAAGAGAGTTATAAAATTTGTGAGATAGATACCCCATATGAGTATTGGGGCTCTACGTTTATGGGTGTGTATGTTTATTTATGAGTGACTAGAAGAAGACTGAGAGGATCCACATAGGTATGATATATGAGAGTAAATGAGTATGGCGTTTGGTTATGTTGAAAGGATACATAAAGATTTGAATTTATGTTTATTTGAGTTTAGAATACTCCATAGGACTAGAAGAGATTGAAAATGTCTTATGAGTATTAATTGTTGAGTGAGATTGGAATGATTTGATGTATGTTATAATTTTCTACAACTAGTGGATCTTATTTTTCATCCGTGAATGTAGGTCAGTTGAACCGAATCACGTTAAATTATTACCTCTTGTGTGTTTGATTTCACTTCCGTTAGTGTTATTGGATTGAAGACTTTTAGCCTAACAAATGATATCAAGAGCTATGGTATTCTCCAACAAGTGGCATCAAAGCTGAAAGTTCGAAATGTGAGAAGGTTGAATATTCAAGATGTGAAAAGAGCCGAAGATTCGAGACATGAAAGAGCTAAAAATTTGAGATGTAGAAAGAGCTAAAGGTTTAGAAAATTGCATGATTTGAGACATGAGAAGAAACAAGTCCAGAAAGTTCAATTCGAGATAAGAGTTCGAATTTAAATTTTGAAGATTGATGATTAGTTTGTATGAAACGTGAAGACACAAGAGAAGAGAAGATGATTGGGAGACTTCTATTGAAGGCGAAGATAAGCATGTCTAAGCATGAAGACAGATGATTGATGAAATTTACGTCAAGGTGAAGATTGTTTGAAATAATGACTCAAATCTCATAAGAGATTTGTTTGAGATTTGTTTGAGATTTGTTAGAGATTTATTTGAGATTTATTTGATATTGCTTGATGGATAAGAAGACTTGCAAAAAAAAATTCTAAGAGAAAGTAGATTCTTAATAGGTAAATTTGACTTGCAAGGGAAGAATTCTAAAAGAAGAGAGATTTTTAATAGACAAGTTTAACTTACAGGAGAAGAATTCTAAGAGGAGAGAGATTCTTAATGAACAAATTTGTATGGTTATAAAATATGTGAAGTCGCTACAGGATTAGGTATGAGAAAAAAGATGTAAGAGAGTTGTAAGATTTTGTGAGATAGACATCTCATAGGAGTATTGAGGCTCTACGTCTTATGGGTGTGTATGTTTATTTGTGAGTGGACTAGAAGAGACTGAGAGGATCCACATATGTATGATGTATGAGAGCATATAAGTATGTGTTTGGTTATGTTGAAAGGGTGCATAAGGGTTTGAGTTTGTGTTTGTTTGGGTTTAAAATACTCCATAACACTAGAGGAAATTAAGAGTGTCTTATGAGTATTGATTGTTAAGTAAGGTTGATGATTTAATGTATGTTTATAATTCTCTACAACTAGTGGCTCTTGTTTCTCATCCGTGGATGTAGGTCAGTTGGACCGAATCACGTTAAATTGTTATCTCTTGTGTGTTTAATTTATTGTTTAATTTCGCTTCCACTAGTGTGATTGAATTGAAAGCTTTTAGCCCAACAAGATTAATAATTCAATGGTTTAGATCAAACTTTTATTTTTTATTTGATTTGATGGAAAGATCAATGCCTTTTATATTGGTTTTCTTGATATATTGAATTTATCATAACACATTTTAAAAAATATAATAATATAGTAATATATTATTAATAAAAAAGGATCAATTCATATAATGTAAAACTAAAAAGGTTTTAAACATTTTTTTAATAATTGATTCAATAGATCAAAAAGATGAAAGAGATATGTAAAATTAAAAAAAAAAAAATTAGTTTAATCTATTCCTTAGATACATTAAATAAATAATTAAAAAAAAGTATAAAATTTTTAGTTTTATACTATGTAAGTTGATTCTTCCTCAATATTAATATATCAACTATTATACACATGTTATCAATAACATACAATGAGTGAATATGTGCTTCAATATTTATTTTACGTTTATTTCCTCTTCTCTTTATTTCTTTTTTTAACTACAAGATTTCTTTTGTATTTTTTATATTTCATTGAATAAAGTAGCTCTTGATTTTATGTTACTGAAATATTTCCACATTAGGAGAACTAATCTGAAACCTTTTTGCATAATATTTTCTTCTAATTGATGTTATTTGACAGCTGAGACGTTATTGAAACTTGAATATTTTGACAATAATAGAATTTTGCTTAAGGACATCAAAGTGCTTCATTTTTTTTCTCATAAAACACTGTTATGTTTGTGTTTTGTATGTGATTGATGTTGTGTTTAATTTATATTCAAAGAGCAAATAGTATTGTGGATAAAATAGGATGCATCAACTTTGCAGACTTTGTTGCATCCAACAAAATTTTGGAGCTTTTAAGGAAGCTATATAACTTTTTGCTCATGAATGATCATACTTTTTCAAATATGTCTTGAGATTATTATATTATAATGGTTATTTTCTTAAAATAATGGTTTCATCTACTTCATGTTTGATTCAAATAGCTTTGAGATTAGATTAGAAACATTTTCATTTGTTTAGAAAGGTTTTGGAAGGTTTTTTGCAATTAATCTAAAATCCAGAAAAAAAAAAGTTAGGGATTATAAGTGGAATTCACCGCTCTCCCGAGTTTGTATTCTCAAACATGGAAAAATTCAAGAAATCTTGATGTGCATTTGTTATTAGTTTTAAATGATTATTGATTTGAGGCTATAGACAAAACAGAATCAAAGAGAGACATAAGATTTTAATCAGTCCCTACCAATAAGCTAAGATTAATTACCTGGGCATAAAAGCTTCGATGATCATTCTCGCTGGCTAAGTGGGAAACATAATTTTCATGTTTCTGAAAATTTTTGCCTTGAACTTTCAAGTACTGGGAAATCATCCCCTCAATTATGCCTGTCAAGTGTCTATTTTCCGCAGCTACCCTTGCATACTCCTTCTACAAGCATTTGTTTTCAACATTCAGTATAATATTTGCACAATAGAAAGCTAAACTAAAAGCAGAAGAGGGAAGCATCAAATCACATTAATGGAAATGATATCATATTTTATTGATTTATAGTTATAATTATATGCTAAAAGAAAAAAAAAAAAAACAGCATAGAGAAATAGAGAAAGATATTTCTTTACCTTCTTTTTTTGCCGATTCAGTGCATTATTTTTTCTCTTATTTTTTCTCCTTTGAAAAAATCTTCGGTGTTGTTGGTTTGAAGCTTCAGATTGAGCTACTTGTGGATGCATCCTGAGCCAAATTGTTCCAATTACTTTGGTTATTGCTATAGAATTAAATTAAAATATTTAATTTAGACAATTGATTGATTTACAAAAAAAAATCATAATAAATAATCCCCTTAATCTGTTTGCAGAATAAAAAGAGAAAGATCATGGATGATTAACCAAGAAGTGAGTCAACTAAAGGTCAACTTTAAGTCAACTCTACCCATAAAAGCAGGGAAATGCAGAAAAAGAGATGAAATCAACAGAGAATGGGTATAGATAATCTCCATAGAATAGAAGAAAAAAAAAAAAGAAAAAGAGAAGAAACTGATTCAACTTTGGTTCATTTCTATAAAAGAAGCTAATTTAACACGAACAAGGAAAATCAAACACTTACCTGAGAAGCTGATTTAACAAGAACAAGGAAAATCAAACACTTACCTGCTTCAGAATCCTAAAATCAAGCTCCACTACCCTTTACTCTTCTGATCAGTAACAACTTGCAAATTAAGTAAAATCTTAAAGGAATCAAAAGACTTCCAACGACAAAAAAGTCAAGACTCAGAAAAGACTTGCTGTTGAACTTGAACCATCCGATTAGGCCCCCACGAAGATTATTGGAACCGTTAGATCATAGATGGCGAGAAAAAAGCGCAATCCTTTTTGTTTAACAGTGTGCGGTGATTATTACATTTCAATCGCACGATAGCCTCAAGTGATCGAACGTTTTTAACCTCCGTTCCGCGTTGCCGAATGTGCTGGAATCTTTAACCCTTTTTCATATTGTTCCCTAAGAATACTTCATTGCGAAGCCTTTTTTTTTTTTTTTAAGTATTATGTTTGTTGTTAGTACTAAGATTTTGTGGAGACGGAGAAATTGAACTTATTTTTGCTTGCTTTAGGGAAACTTAAGTCTAAAACTATAAATGTTAAAATTCGCTATATTGGTATCACTCACTCGTAATTGTGTAAAATTTGCTATTCTTATGAGACCAAAATCTGAATTTGAAAACTCCTACACTTTCACTTTTATATTAAATCCTTTTAGGATTGACTTTTACTGCTAAATGTAAGGAAAACATTCATAGAGTGAGATAAAAACTATTTTTACAACAGATAAAATAAGATATCCTAAAGATTTTTTGAAATTGTTAGATGAATTTAAAAATAATAAATAAAATTTATAAATTTTTTTAATTAGGTATGATTAATTTTTTATTAAAATTTATTATTTTAATAAAATTTTAAAATTAATTAAAATTTATCAAAAAATAATTTTTTTGATTTATAAAAATAATTTAGGTTCAAAAGTCGATTATACATATGGAATAATTAACATTTTCACAGTGTCAGTTTAAAACGATATTAATTAATTATGTGTTGTTTTTTAATTTTGACAAAAAAAATCTTAATTTTAGTATTTAAAATTAATTTTTTTAATTTTTTTATTGTAATAATTTTAATAATTTTTTATTTTTCTAGTTTATTTGAGAAAAATACTAAAACCTTGTTATGGAAAAAAAAATCTTAAAATGACTCAATACATTAGTAACATTTAAAAAAAATTTCTCGCATAAAAAATTCTCGAAAATCATTATTTGAATTTTTCAAATATCTCATCTTCGGCTATTCATATTTATCTTCAAGATTTATATATGCAATAAGATACGATAATTATAATTTAATCCCAATAATATTAAAAATTTTCATTTTTTATTCTATTTATTAAAAAAAATTTTATTGAAAATTATTATAAATATTTCAATAAATTGACGATATTTAAGATAAATTTTATTACCTAAAGATTATTTAAAATCACTATTTAAATTTTTTTATGATCTCATTTTTGAAAGTTTTATTTATTATATATATTTTTAATATGATGTACATGGATTAATTTGTGATACTATTACATTATATAAAAGTTCACTTTTAAAAGTGAAAAATAAATAAGAATTTTTCGTATTGAGAATTATTCTAAATATTCTAATTTTTTGATAATTTTTTTTAAAAAAATTTCTCACTTAAAGAATTTTTAAAAATTACTATCCAAATTTTTGGGAGTCTTGTCATCAAAAAGTCATTTAATTTTTTTCACATTCTACAATAAAAGTTTTCACAAAAATAAAAAAAAATACCAATGATAAAAATTTTTAAAAAAATATTTATTTTCATAAGCATTATTATTTATTTTAATTACATTTTTTAAAAATATTTTTTTTGTAAGAAAAATTCAGGGATAGATAGGTTGCTCAGTCTCTCAGGTTATGGCAAAAAGTGCCGTACCTATAAGCCTAAGACATATGGCTGCAAATCGTACATTCGAGATGACTCTAACAAATGACTATCGACAAAATTCGAACCTAGGACCTTTTAATCGAAAAAAAATAATCTTAACCGATTGAATCAAATATTTATTAGTATCTTTTTAAAATATTATTAACATAATGTAAAACATGCTAATAAAAGCCAAAATAAAAAAGTAAAAAAATTATATCTAAACAAAACCTTCATCTTGAAACCCAAAATCACGTGTCCACTTAGCCAAAAATTAAAGCCCAGCAACCTCCAACAAATAGTCCAGATGGACAAAACCTTATGAGCTGGTCATGAGTTTTAGTTTAAATTCGAAATCTAAAATTTTGCATGATATAAGCAAAGCTAGCTTTATTCCATCAAAACATATAAAAATCGTTAAGACCATTGTAGAAAATAAGGTTTTACATATTTATTTGCTCTATTTCATTCATTCTATTTTGCCTTCAATTATCATCTCCCTTCCGATCACTTCATTATATTTTGTTCATTACCTTTCAATATGTCTTAAATCATCGTTGGTATGACTTTCATAATTTCAATTTGAATCTAACATACACGTATAAATGGTGATAATGAAAATATTAAAAATAGTTGACCCAAAAAATAGAAAAGGAGCTCAATCCAGCAAATGGATGACAAAATAGTATAGAATGATAAAAGATTATCTCCAACGAAGGATAAAAATGTAATTGGAATAGCATGCATGAAAATCTTGGATTTAATAATTAATATAGAAGATCAAATTCATACTTTGTCTGCAAACTCCAAGGCCATTGTTATTACATACGATAGAGGTCAAGTTGGAATAGCAAATACCCAACATGCAATACAAGCAAACCATTGTACTTTTACACAAAGATGAATGTAGCTGTTGGAGATCAGATCAAAACGTATTCTTGATCCCTTAACCTAAAAAACTTTAGTTTTTAAGTTAGGGTTCAAAAATAGGTTTCAATTTAACCTCTGACAATAGGCCACTTTGTTGGATGCGTGGTGAGAGTCTATTGTACGTGCCATCTTGAATGAACTCCTATAGCGACACCAACAATCAGATGAGAGTCGTCTCTCACACCACGTATCCAAACTAATCAAATGTTAAAAGAGTTAAACATGTTACGCTCGGCACATAAAACACAGTACGGCAAGGAGAGTAAACCGTACTGTTGTTCTGGTAACGACCGTAACCTAGAAAACTCCTTAACATCAGAACCTTGTGAGAAATTAGTCCATCTCCCATGGACAACTTCATAAACCAGATAAGAGGGAAAAAAAAAAAAAAGGGCCCAAAATTAAAGAAACAACACACCTAAAATAGCTAGAAATGGAGAAAGTTCTTGGTGCTGGAGCAATGGAAGGATCAAGGGAATAAACCAGTGCTGACAGACTTGCCATAGAAGTCTTTTGCATCAGCCAGACAGTCTTTGAAATCCTTGTATGTCTCCGCACGCTGCTTGTTCAAGGCATCCAATTTGTACTCTATGCTCTGAAGCTCTTGGTTTCCCATGCAGCCAAAATAAGCACGAGCAATTCTTTTCAAATGATGCATAGCAAAATCGACTTTGAAATCGATGCGAAGAGCATCCTTAATGGCATCCTCCATTTTAACAATTTTTCCTCTGTAACTTGATGAAGCTCCATATCCTCCATCTCTTTAATTGTAGCACAGAAAAATAGATAGATTTTCTCCGCAACAATGGAGTTCATTAAACATGCTGCAGAAACATCACCATAGACATCGGTGATTCTTTCCACGGTAGAAACTAAAGACGATGGGAAATTATATCTTCCAATTTTTTTGTGTTTCCCCATCAAAGCATACCATGAAGTCAGGGAAATCAATGCTGCTTGCAACATCGTCATCAAGTTTCTTCAGAAATTCAGTCAGATGCTTTTCTTGAAAGTCTGAGAATTCTTAGATTTTTCCGTTTCATTCGACAACAGATCATCCAATAATTCATCAAGTTCCAAACCGTTCATAACATGGAACTGAAATAAAGAATTTTGGGATATATATTTCACAAGTCTGGAGTTATAAGAAAAATATTGTAATTAAGTAAAAAAAAAAACATGCATGTGATACATTAATAAACATGTAAAGATACTATTTAAGTAAAATGTCTAAAAGATACTATCAAAAGTAATAATAATATTTTCAGATTTCTCAAAACAAATCCATTCAACACAATTATAAGCAATTATCATACCTCATCATCATTTCCCCCTGTATGAAAGACCATGCCTTGTTGGTCCTACAAATTATAATTAAGAAACGGAATTATCATAAATAAAATCACATGATATATATATATGATAACATGTTAAATCCTGATTACTTGTTTCTTTTTTCTACATATTACAGTTTTGGGGCTTAATGGAGGTTCCAATATTGTCATTAACTTGACTCACATTTGATCCCCTTTATACGGTGAGTTTTGGTTTCCTAGTATATTATTCACTGTCCAATTTTCAAATTCGTGGATTAATTTGTCGATTATTTTATATTTCATGTGAAATAATTAAATATAAAATAATTAAAGAAATAGTGAATTCTTCCATGCATAGATGTATTAAATATATATTAGTTAGTTTTTACACGAGTATATTCATTCCTATAGATTTATCAATTCTGTTTGAACTTAAAAAATTCATTCAACTCACCTAAATTTAACTTATTCAATTTGATTATAAAAAATAACAACCCGAACTTTTTCTAACCCGAATCAAAATAATCCGAACCTGAAATAACTTGAACTGTAATGATCCAAACCAAAATGACACAAATTAATCCGAAATAATTAGAGACTAAATTAAGTATAATTTTATTTTAAAAACATTAATTTAATAAAAATAATATAATATAAATAATATAATAAATATAATATAAATGATAACTTATAAAAGTTATTGAAAATATCATATTAATATATCTTTTTAATATCAAACTAATATAATTTATATATATGTTATGTTATTTATAATTTTTTTATAATTTATAATTTGATTTAAAATAAATTATATATTTTTAATTTTCATAGCTATACATATCAATATATTATTTGGAATAAATTAAAATATATAAAACAAACCATTGATTTTTGTATATATACCATGTTTATATTATAATTATATTATGAATTTTTAATCATGTAACTTAAAATGATCTACTGAGTTACAATTAATAAAATTCAAAATAATAAGTGATTGAATAATGACGTACAATCATACTAAAGTTATTATTTATATTGTAACTATATTATTAAAATAAAAAAATAATTATATATTAAATGTCCATTATAAATAAAATATTTAAAATAATTTTTATATAATTATTAATATGTAATTGTATATTATAATTAGAATTTAAAATATTTTTATATATTTGTATTAAATTAAAATAAATATAAAAAACTATTAAATGTATCAAATGTGACAAATACGTTTCTTGTATCTATATGTGTAATCATATAACACAGTTTAATTAAATATATTTTTGTGTCTTACAAATTGTTGACATATTAAGATGGAAAATATATTTCTAAAACCCATACGTTTTTCTCTTATTGTTTTTAATATCATTTCATTATATCATATTTAAATTTGTCAAAATATAATAAAATCACATTTTTTTAATTATAATAAAAATTAAATTAATTTAAAACATACAAATTACTATATTTATATTTATATTTTATTTTTTTAATATTTTTTATCTTTTAATAAAACCCATACTTTTTAATTTACTAATTTCAACTCGACTTGACCATTAACCATTGTGTTGCATGTCACCATTTGTCGTTTCCCTTTGTTTTTTTAATCATTATAGTTGTGTGAAGAAGAAAAAGAGTTGGTGAAAGAGTTTTATCTTAAAACAAATAATAGTTAATGATAAGACAAAAATAAATTGATAGAATAAAAAAAAAAATCAAGAAGAGAGATTTGGGTAAAAAACAAAATGATGATGCACCAAAAAGAAAAGGGATGATGAAATAAGATAGATTTTCTTTCTCTCCACCTCTTGATTTCTCTTTCTTTCCTTTCTAAAAAAATTTAAACCATTTTTTTGGTTCCCACTCTAATTTCTCACTTTTACTCATCAATCACCAAAAAGTATTTTTTCTACTAGCTCGAGTTTTAGCAATTCGCAACAGTCAATAAGGAGTTGATCGATTGTAACCCATTAGAGAAAGGTATCCAATTTAGTTTCTCAAACTTTTTATTAGAAATAATGACTCAACTCACTCTCATAACATATATTTTTGAGATCAGTTATATATTGTTTGATGGATAAAAAGACTTGCAGAAGAAGAATTCTAAGAGAAAAAAAATTTTTAATAGTAAGTTAGTATATTTATAAGTAGGTGAACTCTCTATAAAAGTTACATATGAGATAAAGATGTAAAAAAATTGTAAGATTTTATAGGATAACACCTATAGGTGTATTAGAGATTTTGTCTTATAGT